AAAAAAAAAAAAAAAAAAAAAAAGGCAAATTTCAGAAATCAAACAGAAAAGATCAAATCAAATATTACAAGTTCTACAAAGCCATTACAGAAAGCAACAAACATGAAAAAAGATATGGGCTGCTTTCAAAAGATCTGAGATGGGAGAGCAGATAAGTTCAGTGTTGACTGAGACGACAGAGGTTACAGCCAGTTTTTACTTCCTCACAGCAAAGAATTGTGCCAATGTCTCTAACACATCAAAATTTTGCAGAACGTGGTATTTTCTGTGAGTCTTTGCAGAAGTGAGAGCTGGACAACAAATAGGACTGAGAGTGTATTAATCTGTCAGACACTGGTGCTGGACTATTAAAAAAAAAATCTGATTAAATCAAGCTAGAAACATAGTTTGAAATGCAAATGACCAGACAAATTATTTTAGGTGTATTATGAGAAGATGCAGGTCATTGGAAAAGACCGTAATTCTTAGAAAAAAGTTGGAGACAAAAAGGGTTGATTAGCAACAAGATAGTCATTTGTCACAGCAGTGAATTAGGAGGCCTTAGGATGCTAGCATCAATAAGGATGAATGTAAAATTACAATGAAAGCACAAAAATACCCTGAGAAATCCATTACATTTGCGTTTTTAGCAGGTTTGTGCTCAACTCCAGACGCACAGCATGTTCGTCCGCAGAAATTGCTCGTTTGGCTGTAACGAATCCTACAGCACCAGAGCGCCATCTGGTGTATACCAGATTTAATGCAGAACTAGAGGCTGAGGTCACTTCAGAATTTAGTTTATACTCAATTGCAAAGCTGCATTTGAAAACTGCCTCTTTTTTCTAAAAAAAAAAAAAAGAAACACACTTTAGGTATTTTGTAAAACTTTTAATCTTCAAGTCGAAAAACAAAAACAGATACAGAATGAAATATTGGATCAATTTCTATACAGTGGCAATTAATTTAAATTTTCCATTCCCCAGAGACTGTCTAGTCTCAAAATCAGAAAAGGGGGGGGGGGGAAGAAACCCTGTCTCAGCAAACTCTTATACCAGGAGTTCATATGGGCACGAGTGCACACGCACGCACACTGGGAGTCCACCAATCGACACTGACCAAGTTAAGCCGGACAAAACCAAAGGAACAGATCAGCCAGGAGTCTTTTTGTCCAATTCTCTGCAGAACTTAAGACTGATTTATGTTTTGAGGCAAATCATTTTGCAAATGGAAAAAAAAAGAAAGACCAGGTTGCAGGTACCAAAGAGTTTTAATATTAAATTAGCTTAAAATTTATTTCTGGGCCCAACCAAAACTAGACCGACTCCTAGCCCTATACAGTATCAACTCCACTCAACCACCTTAACATGTAGGTAGAACAAACACTTGTGTCACGGAGGGGGGTTAGGGTTGCAATTGGATGGAGAGAAAGAGGGAGGATAAGAGTTCAAATCATAACCACACTCAGTGCCTCTCCTGCCAAACAAAAACACTGCATTTAGGGGGTCAGGGAGATACCCAACCCCACTGGAGCCCACTGTACACTGCATATCTGACCCTTGATGTCCGAGCTCACCCAACCCAACAAAATGCAGTGAGTGGAACGCAAAGTTAGCAAAAGTGCTGTACACAAGGAACTCAGTTCTTAATACTAATAGCAATTCTTATTCCGACCCAGGTCATAACCAGTTATCCCAAGGAACAGGAATCTACAGTGCTCAAGAGATCAAAAGCGAATACCCAGAACTTCCCAGGGAGCACAATCCAAACCGCCCCTTATTTACACACTTTACAGCATATGCAGCATGAAGAATCCAAGAATCAGCCTGTGCACACAGGCACAAGATGCAAATGAACAAAGGCTTCCTTTCCGATCTGCCGTTTCTGGGACAAAAGTTAAAGCCAGTGGGGCAGTGGCAGAGGGTGGGGTTTATGGAGGATTGCGGGGTTAAGTTTGGCTGTTGGGGTCTGATTACACTTCCACATTACTCTTCATCCAAAAACACAGTCAACATAACATGAGTTCGCAGCTTACAAGAGCTTTAACTGAAAAGCAAATGGAAAGAAACAATTTACAAAAAAAATAATTCACTGATTAGAGAATAAAAAGTTCCCATTTCTATTTCTTAAATCTGAACATAAAGCATTTATATGTCTGCTAGTTTAGGACTGAAGGAATTTTAATAAAAGGTTGGAGAGAGGATTGAACCTAAAGAAAAAAGAAAAAAAAAAAAAAAAGTCTGACCAGAAGTGGTGCCACTCATGCAAACGACTAATGCACCAGAACATCCCATTCCTCCTATTAACATTTTAAATATTAAAAATAAAAAAAATCAAAAAAAAAAAAAATCAAAAACACAGTTCAGTCATAGCTCCCTTGTGTTCAACACAACCGCTTCTACTGCAAAATTGTCTGGGTGACAAAGGTAGGAGCTGCTGAAAGTCCACACCCTTTTCTTGCAGGAGGGCGGGAGAGAGGGGGTTCCTCTGCTATTCTTTGTGCTTCCGAGAAACAAGTAGTATGAGCTGAACCAATTAGGGCACCATTTTATGGAGCTCTACACCTGCGGTGCGAGTCAAAGTCAATTTATCACAAAAATCCAGCTTGTGGAATGCTGCACCCGGCAAGAGGTTGGGGGGCAGGGGTGGGACAGGACAAGAAACCCACCCTTAGTGTTCACCACCACAGTGTCCACATAGCCAGCCCACCTGAATGCTGTTTCAGTGCCACTTCAGATAAAGAATTTCAAATCCCTCCATAAAACATCACAAATGCAGAGGTTTGACCCAAACTATCCAGGGACATCACTAAACCTTTGTTGATTAATCCGTAATTTTTTTTTTACCAAGTCTTGAATTATGTACATTTACAGGAGGAAAAAAAAAAAGGCGCTTCTACCAAAGCAGTTTTAGTAACACAAGATCAACAATTCTATTTTTGTGAAAGTGATTTCCATTTGACAAGTACTGCGTAGCATTACTATATTCAAAGTTTAAAAATATAATCCATTTGAATTTTTTGCAATACTGGAATAGTTTCTGTATTGCCACTGCCAACTCTGAATTTTAGACCAGGAACAGAGAATGTGTTTCTACAAGCAGTTCCCTTTTTCCTTTTATTAATGGGGGGGGGGCATTACTCAACACCCAGATGGGAGTGGGGAAGAAAAATCCAAAAGGCAGCCTTCACTCAGGCTAATAGTTCAAGTCTATCAAACAACAGTAATTATTAGGGACCCCAGATGGAGGAGGGCTGGCAAAACAGAAGGTGGGGCAAAAAAATTCACATGTTGAACACTGGGGTTCTTCACCATGCCCCTGTGCACCTCCACCACAAGGGGGAGCCCAATCCTTCTGGGTACTGCCAAGGGGGCCAAGGGCAGACAGGCAGGCCAGGAGGGGAATCAACATCAGTCCCCATTCAACCCCCCATGGCGACTCCTTCAGTTGTTCTCGTCGTCGCTGTCGTCGGGGCTGATGGCCGGGCTGGTGAGGCTGTACGTGGGGGAGGTGGGGCTGTAGCCTGGGGAGGTGGGTGAGTAGGTAGAGCCCTTGGGGGAAGTAGGAGAGTAGGTGGGGGATGTAGGGGAGTATTTGGGGGAGGTGGGGGAATAGGTAGGCGAAGTGGGAGAATACTTCGGGCTGGTGGGCGTGTAGGTGGGAGATGTTGGTGAGTAGGTAGGGGACGTGGGGCTGTACTTGGGCGTGGTTGGAGAGTAGGTGGGTGAAGTCGGACTGTACTTGGGAGAGGTGGGCGAGTACTTTGGGGAGGTTGGGGAATACTTTGGAGAGGTGGGGGTGTATTCTGGGGAGCTGGGGCTGTAGGAGGGCGAGGTAGGCGTGTACTTGGGGGAGGTGGGCGAATAGGAGGGAGAGCTGGGACTGTATGATGGGGAGCTGGGTGTGTAGGTGGGGGACTGGGGGGTGTAGCGTGGGCTGGAAGGGGAGTACGACGGAGAGGTCGGGGAGTAAGACGGAGAAGTCGGAGAGTAATTGGGGCTGGTGGGTGTGTAGTTTGGAGAGGTGGGAGAGTAGGATGGGGACGTGGGGGAGTAGCTCGGTGACGTAGGTGAGTAACTTGGTGAGGTGGGGGTGTAGTTGGGCGAAGTAGGGCTGTAGCTCGGAGAGGTGGGAGAGTACGACGGGGAGGTTGGGGAGTAAGAGGGGGATGTGGGGGAGTAAGAGGGAGACGTGGGGCTGTAGCTTGGCGACGTGGGGCTGTAGCTTGGAGACGTTGGGCTGTAGCTCGGAGATGTAGGACTGTAGCTTGGAGACGTCGGGCTGTAGCTAGGCGATGTCGGGGAGTACGAGGGGGAGGTGGGAGAATAAGAGGGGGAGGTGGGGGAGTATGAGGGGGAAGTTGGTGAATAGGACGGGGAGGTGGGCGAGTACG